CTCCTGCGCCTCTTTTTCTACGAAATGATATACTAATGATTAGTAATTATATACTAATATACTAATGTCTTTTGTCTGCGGCTTCTAATTTACGAAGGATGTCGCAGTCTCTGTTTGCAAAAGGCTCCTGAGACTGGTTGCTCTTGTTTCTGTCTTACAGATGGGTAAAAAGGTAAAGGTAAAGGTTCCCTTGCTTGAAAGCCAGTCGAATCCAACTCTAGGGTTGCGGTGCTCATCTCCATTTCCAAGCCGAAGAGCCAGCGCTGTCCGAAGACGTTTCCGTGGTCATGTGGCCGGCATGACTAGACACCGAGGCGCACGGAACGCTGTTCCCTTTCCACCGGAGTGGTACCTATTTATCTACTTGCAATTTCTTGCTTTCGAACTGCTAGGTTGGCAGGAGCTGGAACTAGAGACGGGAGCTCACTCCGTCATGCGGCACACTCGGGTCTCGAACTGCTGAACGACCGACCTTCCACAGCCTGCAGTTCAGCGTCTTAACCACTTGAGCCACCGCAGATGGGTAGATTGAGGCTAAAAAGCGGACACTTGCCCATGACCGTCAGATGAACCCATGACAGAGTCAAGACTTGAACGCAGGTCGTCTGCACGGAAGGCCAGCTTTCCATCCGCTATTGGCTAGGAGCACCAGCCCGTGATACAATCTACTTATGCAGGAGTGTCTACGCTTACTCTTGAAAGGGTGATAACTGGCCTACCTGCTAGTGAGTCAATCTAGATTTGAATACCAGCCTCAAGTTGTCTGCCTTGGTCAGGCCGCACCTGGAGTGTGCAGTTCTGGAGGCCTCACTTCAAAAAGGATGTGGGCAAAATCGAGAGGGTGCAGAAGAGAGCGACGAGGATGATCAGGGGTCTGGAGACTGAGCCCTATGAGGAAAGGTCGAAGGCCCTGGGAATGTTTAGTTTGGAGAAGAGGAGACTGAGGTGGGACATGATTGCTCTCTTTGGGTATTCGAAGGGCTGTCATTTGGAGGAGGGCAAATAGCCGTTCCAGTGGGCAGCAGAGGAGAGGACTCACTATCATGGGTTTAAATTAAGGGTGGGAAGGTAAAGGTTCCCTTGCTCGAAAGCCAGTCGAATCCGACTCTAGGGTTGAGGCACTCATCTCCCTTTCCAAGCCGAAGAGCCAGCGCTGTCCGAAGACGTTTCCGTGGTCATGTGGCCGGGCATGACTAAACATCAAGGCGCACGGAACACTGTTACCTTCCCACTGAAGTGGTACCTATTTATCCACTTGCAATTTCTTTCTTTAGAGCTGCTAGGTTGGCAGGAGCTGGAACTAGAGATGGGAGCTCACTCCGTCATGCGGCACACTCGGGTCTCAAACTGCTGAACTACTGACCTTTCACAGCCCGCAGTTCAGCGTCTTGAGCCACCGCAGCTCCGCCTTTCATTTAGTTCTGCTTTTCACTTCTTATATTCCACAGCCTGCAGTTCAGCGTCTTAACCACATGAGCCACAGCAGCGGGAAGGTACCAGCTGGATATTAGAAAAAACTTTTTCACGGTCAGAGTGGTCCAAAGGTGGAATCAGCTGCCTGGGGAGGTGGTCAGCTCCCCTTGACTGACAGCTTTCAAGAAGCGGCTGGAGGAATATTTGTCAGGGATGCTTTAGGCTGGTCCTGTATTGGGCAGGGGGGTTCCAACTCTAGGTCTATGATTCTAAGTTTCTAGGGATCTCAGGGATTCCTTCAGACAACCAGATACGGGTGCAAGTTACCTTCAGCTCTTCCTTGAGGGTAGTGGATTTCCCTAGGAGCCCGGCCACCATCTCCTGGGTGACGGGGAAGTTAGCTGGGATCTCCGTGCATTTCTGCATCACCACAGGGTTGACCCCGTTCAGGTACTGGTAGCCAAAGAAATCATCGTCCCTCCAATGATCTGCAACATACTCTGGAGATGCAGAGGAATGATAGTTGTTCAGTCTCTCCGTTTAAACGTTTATTCAGTGGGGGATGAATGAAATGGTAACTCGGAGGTCAGAGTTAAGGGATTCGAAAGCAGTAGGACGTGTATGCCATTTCCATCTCCCCAGTAGAGAAGTTCACCTCTAGAAGGGGAGTAGGTTTTTAGATCCTGCTTTTCCTGCCAGTTTGGTGTCGTGGTTAAGTGCGCGGACTCTAATCTGGGAGCGCCGGGCTTGATTCCCCACTCCTCCACACGCAGCTGCTGGTGTGACCTTGGGTCAGTCACAGGTTCTTTCAGAGCTGTTCTCTCAAGGGCAGTCCTCGAAAAGAGCTCTCTCAGCCCCGCCTACCTCACAGCGTGTCTGTTGTGGGGAGGGGAAGGGAAAGGAGTTTGTAAGCCGCTCTGAGACTCCTTCGGGTAGTGAAGGGCGGGGTATAAATCCAGTCTCTTCTTCTTCTCTCTTACTATAAGGCATCTCAGTGCCGCTTCCCTTCTTCGGCCTTCCTTTCCTCTCCCCACCACAGGGACCTTGTGAGGCAGGTGGGACTGAGAGAGGTCTGCGAGGACCGGTCCAAAGTCCCCAGGTCGGATTCTCGCGGAGGAGTGGGGAAGCAAACCTGATTCTCCAGATTAGAGTCCACGACTCTCAGCCACTACACGTCACTCGCTGGTAGGAGAGAAATGCTTCCGGGGCTAGCCTTAAAACATATGAAGCTCGCTGTCCGGGGTCAGACTTTTGGCTCTCGGCACTGGTTACTCTTGATGGGTAGCGGCTGTCCAAGTTCGCACGCTGAGAAACATCCATAGAATGTATCTCCATGAAAACCAGCAAAATTTCCTCCTCCGTGGCTGCATCCCCAAACTGAGGGTTTATTTATGACAGCAAGCAAGCCCAGGAAAAAAAATGATAGGGGTTCCCTTCCCTTGCAGTGAAATTGCCCTGATTTCTTAAAACAGTGTTTCCTGTGGGAGGGGAATGGCATAAAACTGTTACTTATTGGGGAAGGCCCTCAAGGTAGAACATCTGGGTGGCATATTGGAGGCCCCGGGTTCAATCACCAGCATCTCCAGTTAAAACAGGGGTGTCAAACATGCGGCCCAGGGACCGGATTAGGGCCCCCCCCCGAGGGCTCCTATCAGGACCGCAGTGGAACAAGCTGTCTTCTTCTTCTTCTTCCAGTTCTGTTGCTGCTGCGTCATCGTAGGTTTGCAGCTTACAAAAACATACCTGAACAGCGCACTCAAGATTGCGACAGCACAGACATTTTGATGCAATAGTTCAGAGCATGAGGTGTCAGTGATCAGACACTGTTAAATAGACAAACGATTGCAAGAGTGCTGATGTTTTAAGCAGGATTTTGTTTTAAGTAAAAAAAACCCACCCACCCTTTGTGTTTGTGTCCTTGATAAAGTTTATATCTCCGCTACCTGGCATTACATTTTATGACACATGTGGCCCGGCCCAACAAGGTCTCATTTATGTCAGGTCACCAGCCCTCATAACAAATGAGTTCGACACCCCTGAGTTAAAAGGATCAGGCAGTAGGTGATGGGAAAGACCTCAAACTGAGACCCTGGCGAGCCACTGCCAGTCTGAGCAGACGTTACTGACTTTGATGAAGCACTTGTCTGATTCAATATCAAGCTGCTTCATGTGTATACATTCTTTTCCGGCTGTTTAAAAAATCTGCCCACTGCAGGGCGCCTGTGCAGGGCAGGGCCACTCACCTGTGACAGGGGTTTTTTTGAACCAGAAGACTTTCCCGATGTCATCGAGACTCTCCCAAGAACCCTCCTGGTTGGAGAAGCCTCTCAGTCTGAGCTCCAGTTCCCTGAAGGCAAAGACCACAGCAGGTAAAGTGGGGTGGGGGAACAGCAGTGAGGAGCTTTGAGTTGCCAGCCTCCAGGCGGGGCCTGGAAACTCGCTCGAATTACAAGTGATCTCCAGAGATCAGGTAAAGGGTAAAGGTCTCCCTTGCTCGAAAGCCAGTCGAATCCGACTCTAGGGGTGTGGTGGTCATCTCCGTTTCCAAGCTGAAGAGCAGGCGCTGTCCGGAAACGTCTCCGTGGTCACGTGGCCGGCATGACTAAACACCAAGGCGCACGGAACGCTGTTACCTTCCCACCGAAGTGGTACCTATTTATCTACTTGCAATTTCTTGCTTTCGAACTGCTAGGTTGGCAGGAGCTGGGGCCAGAGACGGGAGCTCACTCCATCATGCGGCACACTCGGGTCTCGAACTACCACACTGCCGACCTTCCGGTCTGCAGTTCAGCGTCTTAACCACTGAGCCACTTACCCTGGGGGCAATGACCCCCTGCCCACCCCAGGCTCCGCCTCCAAATCTCCGGGAATTTCTCAGCCTAGCGTTGGTAGCCCTAGAGGGCCTCCGGCGTCAGCGCTCCGTTCCACAGGTGCACACGCCAGATCGAGCAGAAGCAAGACGCAACCTCGGACCCATACAAACTTCTGCTGGGATAAATTTTGTTCATCTTTACTTGGGATGCCAACTCTGGGTTTGGAAGGACCTGGATATTTGGGGTGTGTGTGTGTGTGTGCCTGGGGAAGTCAGGAGTTTTGGGGAGGGGAACGATCTCAGTGGGGTTTGATGCCCCGAAGCCCACCATATCCAAAGCCGCCATTTCCTCCCAGGGGGAACTGATCTCCATAGTCTGGAGCAGTGTTCCCTCTAAGCTGAGTTAGTGTGAGCTAGCTCACAGTTTTTTAGCCTCTGGCTCAATTTTTGTCTTAGCTCAGGAAGGATGGCTCCAGAGCACACTAATTAACGCAGTAGCCAAATCTCTCACTCACAACTTCAATGCCAGTAGCTCACAAAGTAGACTTTTTGCTCACAAGACTCCACAGCTTAGAGGGAACATTGGAGATCAGCTGTGATTCCAGAAGAAGGTCTCCTGGCCCCACCTGGAGGCTCAGCAACAAACACACGGGGAACACGGCAAGGTTGAGCAAACGCAGCAAAACACCGTGCTAGAACAAAACACACAATACGATTATGCTACCGTGTCTTCATACATTGATTTAAATCACAGACTTAAATACAATAGAGACCCTAGAGCAGGGGTGATTTCACAAAAAAAGAGGTGCAGGAGCTCATTCGCATAACTCATTAGTATTTGCATATGCCACACCCCCTGACATCACCGGAAGCGCGTCAGAAGGCAACACCCCCCGCTCAGGCTCCACTGGACTGTTTTGGATTGCTAGCTATTGGTGGTGGTGGGGGGAAACGTGCAGATCTGTCCTCGCAGAGGAGGGAGAGCTTGTACCTGAATAAAACTTGGTCTTAAAGGTGCCACTGGACTGTTTTGGATGGGGGGGGGGCTCTGCAACTGACCTGGCTGCTTCTTGCTCTGACTGAGGGCTGCTGGGAGCAGGGGGTGGGCCTTGTTGCATGTGCCCGCCCCCTGGGCTCTTTACTGCCGGAGCTCCGCTCCTGTGCTCTCCTGCAGGAAATGACCCCTGCCCTAGTGTATCTTATTCATTATAGCACGAAAACCTAAAGAACATTATATATCTAGTAAAAGAGTCCACAGCTACAGAGACAGGTTTAAGTGCTGTACACTGTCTTGCTTTCTGATGAGAGATTCCCAAAAAAGAGATACAGTAAGCATCAAAGCAACACGCTGTATCTCTTTTATTATTATTAATAATAATAAAGGCTTTCAGTCTCATTCTTACAAGGGAGAAACAGGAGCAAAACGGGGGGAATCAAACCCAATCCCACTGCATTCGAAATACAGTCCCATCTCTTTGCCTCTCCCCTAACCGTTCTGTGCGCCTTGGTGTTTAGTCATGCCGGCCACATGACCACAGGAACGTCTTCGGACAGCGCTGGCTCTTCGGCTTTGAAACGGAGATGAGCACCGCAACCCTAGAGTCGGATTCGACTGGCTTTCGAGCAAGGGAACCTTTACCTTTACCTTTACTTACAGCCTAAGAAAGCTACCCATCTGGAATGATCCTTCTTGTACCCGCTTCTCCACCTATGAGGCAGCCGCAGTCTGCCTGGAGAGAACTTAATTAGTACTTAAGCCCAAAATGACTTGGGCCAGGATGTCAAAAGCAAGGCTGGACGGGGACATTAAAACGAAGGGCTTCCAGCAAGACGGATCTGCGTATGGAAGCAGCTTTCTGTGTTTGTTGCAGATGTATATCTGAGTTGCATCCTCCAGCTCCTCCCAGGCCCACGGAGCGGGCTCAAGACGTCTTTACAGCAGTGGTGATCGACCACAGGTCAGGCCAGGAGTTTCGTGTAACTAATTCGCAGCATGGTTAATCAGTCAGCAAATGGCCATCTACCCTCTGTTTGAAAACCTCCCAAGAAGGAGAGCCCACCACCTCCCGAGGAAGCCTGTTCCACAGAGGAACCTCTCTAACTGCCAGGAAGTCCTTCCTAATGTTTAGCCAAAAACTCTTCTGATCTAATTTCAACCCGTTGGTTCTGGTCCGGCCTTCGGGGGCAACTGTGCTCCCTTGTGGTACAACATTATAATGGAGGGGGGAGATCTTGGTGGTTGCTTGGGGGTGTGTGCTCTGGGTTAGAACATAAGAACATAAGAACATAAGAGACGCCAATGTTGGATCAGGCCAAAGGCCCATCCAGTCACACGCTCTGCGTCTACCAGTGGCCAGAAATACCAGGGGCCATCAGGAGGTCCACCAGTGGGGCCAGGACACTAGGAGCCCCCCACTGTTGACCCCCCCCAAGCACCAAGAAGACAGAGCATCACTTGCCCCAGAGCCCCTATTCTGCCACACGGCTGGCTGGCTGGCTGGCTGGCTGTGAAAATCATGCCGAGACCAAACAGCTCGGCTTCCAGCATCCAGACTGACTGGTTAATCTGGCTGAATGTCATGTGACAGAGATCTGGTGGGTAAGGTTAATGTTATACACCGGTATTGGATTGTGAAACAGGGTGTTCCTGAGTCGTGGGAAGATTCGTGTCACTGCCTCATAGATCTCAGTGGGTGACTTGGGAGGCTGCCAGTTTTGGCACTTCCACGCTGATCTTTTCTGCTTAGCTCCCCTGCTCTGGGGCATTCATAGGGCTGCCAGCTTCCAGGCAGGTCTAGTAACAAATAAATATACACTGCAAAAAGCTGCAGCTTTGAGAATGACAGGAGTACTCTGTCCACGAATGTTAGCTGCATAATGTGTCTTTTGTAGGACTGGCAAAAAGCATCCATAGAAGAAGGCTTGTCCCCCTTTTTGGAAGACTTCATGCAAGGAGAAGCGGGCTTATAATTCCAGAAACTACCATTGGGGCTTGACTGTTAAAACACTGTTGCAAAATTGTCTGGTAGTTAGCAATCTGTATATATTGAATGTTATTGCTTATTGAATGTAATGAAATAATGATACACTATCCACTTTACTAAATGATGACCATAAATAGAATGCATTAGTTTGCTAAAAGGTTTTTGCAGTGTGTACTTATTTGTTACTAGACTCTCCTAACGCTGCAGCTCGGGTTGCTTCAGCCTCCAGGCAGGGCCTGGAGATCTTCCAGAATTACAACTGAACTCCAGACAACAGAGATCAGTTTCTCTGGAGGAGAGGGGCTGCTTCAGAGGATGGACTCTATGGTATAATACCCCGCTGAGGTCTCTAGCCTCCTTCGGGGCCCCCATCCCCAGGCTCCGCCCCCAAGTCTCCGACAATTGGGCCTCCCTCAAGCCCCTCTCGTTCCTGATGTTCTCCTTGCCAGTGTCTTTGGAACAGGGGCATTTTTTCCTATTGGGCACAGAAGGTCCCAAGAGGGAAGGGTTCGGTCTTGGAACATTTCAGCCACCTCGAATGGAAAACAAAGACGCGAGTGCCAGAAACCAAAAGGAACAGAAATGAAAGGGACCATAAAAACGAACATCTGGAATAAGGAACAGGGAAAAAGAGAAAACAGCTTTCGAAATGGAGGTGCAGAATAACAAAGACAAAAGTCGTACAGCTGCATTCTGCAAAATGGTTGATGGCCAGCCTGAGTTCTGTTTTTTACTGGGATCCCCCCCCTCCCCCCGTGTATGGTGGCTGATAAAATTTCCATTCTTAGTGCAAGATTTGAATGCAGATCTGAGTGCAGTGAGACCAACAGTGCAATGAGACCAACAAGATTGCCAGAGTATCAGCTTTCAAGAGTCCCAGCTGCCTTTGTCAAATATTTGGAGTCTGGACTCTTGAAAAGCTTGCACGCCAGGAATCTGGCTGGTCTTCAAGGCGCTGTCATTCTCCGGTCTTGCTCTCCTGCGGCAGTCCAACACAACTTCTTGTTGTTGTTCAGTCGCACAGTCCCACCTCACAGGTTGTCTGTTGTGGGGAGGGGAAGGGAAAGGAGTTTGTAAGCCGCTCTGAGACTCCAAGTGAAGGGCGGGGTATAAATCCAATCTTTTCTTCTTCTTCTTCTTTCACTGGAGTGATTGTCGGATTTTATGGCAGTGTCCAGACTGCAGGCCGCTTTCACTTCGTTTGATCTCTCGGTTTTACGGACATGTCTGCATAGATTTATGGCCATTTTATGGCCACTCAGGGGTGACTCTGCTGTCAGTACTGTGTTGGCCTGGGGTATTTGAATGTGGTTTTGAGACGCATCTTTTTCTGTTCCAGCGTGGGTCTGGTAAAACAGCGGAGCAAACGCTAGATGGCGATTGGGCCTCTCTCAAGCCCGTCTCATTCCTGATGTTCTCCTCGCCAGTGTCTTTGGAACAGGAGCATTTTTTCCTATTGGGCACAGAATGTCCCAAGAGGGAAGGGTTCGGTCTTGGAACATTTCAGCCACCTCGAATGGAAAACAAAGACGCGAGTGCCAGAAACCAAAGGGAACAGAAATGAAAGGGACCATGGAAACGAACATCTGGAATAAGGAAGAGAGCAAAAGAGAAAACAGCTTTCGGAATGGAGTTGCAGAATGACAAAGACAAAAGTCGTACAGCTGCGTTCTCCAAAATGGTGGATGGCCGGTCTGAGTTTTGTTTTTTACTGGGATTCCCCCCCCTCCCCCATGTATCGTGGCTCACAAAATTTCCATTCTTAGAGCAAGATCTGAGTGCAGATCTGAGTGCAGTGAGACCAACAGCGCAGTGAGACCAACAAGATTGCCAGAGTATCAGCTTTCAAGAGTCCCAGCTGCCTTTGTCAAATATTTGGAGTCTGGACTCTTGAAAAGCTTGCACGCCAGGAATCTGGCTGGTCTTCAAGGCGCTGCCATTCTCCAGTACTGGTCTCCCGCGGCAGTCCAAAACGACTTGTTGTTGTTGTTCAGTCGCTCAGTCGAGTCCGACTCTTCGCGACCCCATGGACCAGATCACGCCAGGCCTTCCTGTCTTCCGCCGTCCTCTGAAGTTTGCTCAACTTCATGTTCGTTGCATCAATGACACTGTCTAACCATCTCATCCTTTGCCGTCCCCGTCTTCTTTGACCTTCAGTCTTTCCCAGCATCAGGGTCTTCTTCTCCAGTGAGTGCTCCCTTCTCATTTGGTGGCCAAAGTATTTGAGCTTCAGTTTCATTATCTGTCCTTCCAGGGAACAGTCAGGGTTGATTTCTTTTAGGATTGACTTTTCTTTTCTTTTAGGACGACTACCCAATGGAAACTAATTATTTTTAACAATGCTGGGTTTTCTTTTTGCTTATTGACATGCTGCTTTTGGGGGCGAAGAAGAAGAAGAGGAGGAGGAGGAGGAGGAGGAGATTGGATTCATACCCTGCCCTTCACTCGGAGTCTCAAAGGGGCTCACAATCGCCTTTCCCTTCCCTTCCCCACGACAGACACCCTGTGAGGTAGGTGGCCTAGGCATGGTGCGATGCTAGAGAGCCGGGGTGGCCAGACTGTGGCTCGGGAGACGCATGAGGCTCTTTCGCACATATCGTGCGGCTCCCGGCAGGGCGGCCGGGGGAGTGAAATATCATTAGCAAACAAATGATCACTGGACAAACAAATACCATTCTCAATATCTGCTTTGACCACCTTTGTCATTACGTTTGGCAGTCGCGTTTAGTGTTAATAGAAAGCAAATCTGCATATTTCCCTGTAAAAAACTTGTAATATCTGTCCATGTCTTGTGGCTCTCAAACACCTGATGTTTATTCTATGTGGCTCTTGCGTTAAGCGAGTTTGGCCACCCCGCCACCAAGTCTACCCTTCAAAGCAGCCATTTTCTCTGGGGGGGGGGGGGAATAAAGTAACCTGAAGACCACTCGCAGTTCTGGGAGATCTCCAGCCACCACCTGGAGATTGGCAACTCTAAATATCAGTAAAGAACCAATGGGGGGGGGGAAATCATTGGATGCCTCATACCTGAGACGTTGTTCTGCAGGGCAAAACAAAAAAAGGAGAGAGGGAAAGCTGCCTTTTAGTCCTTTGGGATGTTTCTCCCGCAAAAGTCCCTCCCCAAACCCCAGAGACAAAGAAACTCACGACTTGACGTTGCGCAGGGCGAAAACTGTGGTTTTGGTGACCGTGAACTTATCGTTGCTGTCCAAGTCGTCGGTGCTTTTGGCGTCTACGCATCTCGGCCAGCCCGGGGCATAGTCCTTCCAGCTGAAGGGACCAGAAGAGAGGCAGCTCACCCCAAGCGAACACCAGTTAACATAACACAGATACAAGCAGCCGCCACGAAAGGGCAATAAACATATGCGGACCTGCAAAAGTACGCTAGCACTGTTGAGGTGTGAAAAATGACACCAAATGTAGACGGCGAAGGCTGGGTCACCGGTGGGAAAGACAAATGCAGATGCGACCGTTGCCTCAAGAAGTTGCCGTGGCCATTAGCACAACTGTTGTTGTTTTTTAAAAGGTCTGCGATCTACGGCTCCCTGCTGTAATGTGAGACTCACCCGTAGCATTCTTGCCGACATTTGAGCTCTTCCTTACGATGCTCCAAAAGGAGAGGATTCCCGGAATCATCGGTAATGGTTTTGGCTGGGGAAGAAAGGCGAGCGTCAATGAGCCTGAAGGGAGAAATGGGTTTTACTTACCAGAACAGAGGAGAGGTAGGCTAGACGGCATCGGAGCAATGCCGTCGGATCCGGAAGCCCGGCATTCCCTCTAGTCCTACGCAGGGGTCATTTCGTAGAAAAAGAGGTGCAGGAGCATTGGTATTCAGAGGTTTACCTTAGAGGGAACACTGTTGGGCTTCCATCTAAGTACCAACCTTGCTTAGTTTTTGCGATCCGATGAGAATGTTGTACACACAGTTTATGAAACACTTTTGTACTCTGCCACTGACTAACAGGTTAACTTAGTAGGTACACTTCGCCTTTCCATGATATGCGGAGTGCCATTTATGATTCTAATCATACAGACATAAATCAACCATGAACATATATTCAGATAATAACTGTGGTTCGTTAATGGCCACTGCTTAAAAATGCATGCTGGGAGAATAAAGAGCTGCTAACGTACCATTATTTTGCTGAAGCCTAAGCCACAGACAGGCCCGATGGCCTTGCATTTTAGCTATAACCAGAACACATCTCTGATATCAGCTAGCCTAGCTAAATGGTGAACAAAGACACCCTGCCTTATATTAAGTCAAATAGATACTTCTAGAACTTCACAGTCTGAAGGAGAGAAGCACCCATTGGGTGCGTTCAGACGGGGCATTTCAGCCGGCATAAACTGCACCGGTTCCAACCGTTGCAGTTTATGCCGGCGCTGAGATTGTTGAGCACTTTAATGTATTGTATTTATTGTTTTTAAACTGTATAACTTGTTTTAAATGTAATTTAAATTGATGTTTTACTATGGTAAGATCTTTTACTATGTAAGCCGCCCTGAGCCCTACGGGGGAGGGCGGGATATAAATCTAATAAATGAAATGAAATGAAATATCGCCGACCTAACAAAAAAAATGGTGGGCGAAAATCAGAAGCCTCGGGCTTCCGAACGGAAGTGGCTCTACAACGTTGGAGAGCGATCAGACGGGGGGTAAAGCGATTACAACCGTTGCACTCAGGATACCACCACTTGGGGACCTAGTGGCAGAATACAACGGTTTAAAGCTCTTTGCAACGGTTAGGGACGGAAGGCAGATGTTCGCCGTGTGAACGCCGGTAAGTACACCGATTCCAACCGGCACCTATACCGTTGCAAATGCCCCGTCTGAACGCACCAATTGTCTACTAAAAGGTAAAAGGTAGAATGAACTGTACTTGGGAAAGCCCGGCCCAAAAGACTTTGCTTGCTTATGTCACACTGAGTATAAAATTCCATGTCGCCCTTTGTAACACTCGAAGAGTCTGTTGGGTATTCAGGGGTTCAAGCCTTGATATCTGTACTCTTTCTTTATTAATTAATACATATTTTAGTGTTTTCTGCTCTACAGGACTGCTGGGTGTGTTTTTCTCAAATTGGGTGGGGGGAAAACACTGCCAGGGGCACAGGTTGTGTCTAACAAGATCAAGCTGCACAATGCCACCTTCCCTTCCTGAACTCCCTGGTGGGGTACAAATGTATAGAGAGGTAGAGGTGTACCTGCTCCCTCCCGCAGAGTCAAGGTGCTGTAGCCCTCCAGCCACTGGTAGGAGGGGAAGTTGTAGATCCTCCCTTGCCGGGTCGTCACCTTGACATAGTCACAGAGCCAGCTGTCTTTGGGGAAGAACAAGTAGGCCTCTTTGTGGAGCTGGACCAGCAGAAGTTCTCCCAGGTCCCTGGCGCAGTGCACCTCATACTCGTCCACCTGGATGCACAGAGGAGAATCGGTCTTGAGGAGGGATGCAGAATTGCCGCCCCCCCCAAAGCCAGGCCCTCTTGGAAATGTCCCCTACGCCCCGGTGGTCCTTCTCATACTAATCTTCTCTGCTTGCTTTTGGTTGGTTCTGCTGCAGGTACTGCCCATTCTGCCAGTTTGGTGTAGTCGTTAAGTGCGCGGACTCTAATCTGGGAGAACCGGGTTTGATTCCCCACTCCTCCGCTTGCAGCTGCTGGATGACCTTGGGCAAGCCGTAGTTCTGGCACAGCTGTTCTTGAAAAAGAGCAGTTTCTGCCCAGAGCTCTCTCAGCCCCACCTACCTCACAGGTTGTCTGTTGTGGGGAGGGGAAGGGAAAGGAGTTTGTAAGCCACTCTGAGACTCTGAGTGAAGGGTGGGGTAGAAATCCAATCTCCTCCTCCTCCTCTTCCTCCTCTTCTTCTTCTAAATGATTGTGAGTTTGGCTGGCCTGATCACTGCCAGGACTCCAACTGGAGAGCCTGTTCACACCACTTAACAATAGTGTGTGGGTGTGGGGTGTTTCTTGAGGGGGGGGCATTGCACCTGAAGGGGGAGGGGCATAGACCAGAACCTGACAGAGAGAAGTGTCTGGCAAGCAGCTATTTGCCCGTTGCCGTGGGGTGAGGGTGGGGAATTTCAAGCTGGAGCTAGTTGGAGCTGGGGTGCAAATCTGGAGTGCCTGTGCTCAAGTGGGAAACTGACCAATAGAAGCGGGGCAAAGGGAGGCGCGACCGCGACGCAGGTTTTGTGTGAAATCGGTCCCTGGGTGTATGGGAGGGTTTCCCCTGAACACCTCTAAAGCTAGCAACATAAATAACTCTGACTGCTAAGAGAACAATTCTAAGTTTTTAGCAAGCAGTTTTCGCATCTGAGAATTTGCCGGGAGTGTTGTGGGTCAGGGGCCGCGGTGGCTCAGCGGTTAAGACGCTGAGCTGCAGACTGGAAGGTCAGCCATTCGGCAGTTCGAGACCCGAGTGTGCCGCATGATGGAGTGAGCTCCCATCTCTGGCCCCAGCTCCTGCCAGCCTAGCAGCTCGAAAGCAAGAAACCGCAAGTAGATAAAACAGGTACTGCTTCAGTGGGAAGGTAACAGCGTTCCGTGCACCTCGGCGTCTAATCATGCCGGCTACATGACCACGGAAACGTCTTCGGACAGCGCCTGCTCTTCAGCTTGGAAACGGAGATGAGCACCGTGCCCTAGAGTCGGATTCGACTGGCTTTCGAGCAAGGGGAACCTTTACTGGGCAGAAGAACTAGGTTTGTGTCCAGTAGCACCTTCGAGACCCACACAATTTTGGGTAATGAGCTTCCAAGAGTCAAAGCTCCCTTCGTCTGATACACCAACAAGATTTTTTGGGCATAAGCTCTCAAGGGTCCCTTGAAGGAAGCTTTGACTCTCAAAAAACATACCCCGAGAATCTTGTCTTTCCCGAAGGTGTCACTGGACTACAATCTTCAATACTGCAGACCGGCGCGGCTGCCCTTGGAAACTACACGGCAGATAAGACATTTGCAAAGTGCCTCAAGAGGAGGACTTGCAGCCTGTCCGCTTCACACCCAGCCAAAGACCAGCCCTGTGACCAGTGTTCCCTCTAAGCTGAGTTAGTGTGAGCTAGCTCACAGGTTTCTAGCCTCCGGCTCACATGTTTTTGTCTCAGCTCAGGAAGGAGGGCTCCAGAGCAAACTAATTTATGCAGCAGCCAAACTGCTTGCTCACAACTTTAGTGCCAGCAGCTCACAAAGTAGAATTTTTGCTCACAGGACTCCACAGCTTAGAGGGAACATTGCCCGTGACTATACATGCTGAATTTGTACTCACAGCCCCAGGAACGAAGTCCCGGCCCCGGTTATTCAGGGACTGCTTGTGGCTCTTTCCTCGGGTCCCGATCAAAGTGATGGAGACGGCGCTGTAGGTGCCTGCCAGCATGAGGTTGCCGGTGGCCACTTGGACCTTGTAGGTGGCCATTTCGGAAGCGGACAAAAGAAGGGGCCCGGATCACCGAGAAGGATGGGGGGTGCTGTGCTGCGCGGTGCTGGTTCCAAGGCAGGTTTGAACAGCCTTCCCTGCTCCTCCCCGTGCTGCGCGGTGCTGGTTCCAAGGCAGTTTTGAACAGCCTTCCCTGCTCCTCCCCGAGGGTGTCGGTCTGCAGCCGCCTCCCCAAGCCGAGCTGCTCGTCTCTGGTATGCCTCCTTGGCCTGGAGGGACCGGGGAAAGCCGTGGAGTGGGAGGGGCCCTGCTTGGCTCAGCCTCGGTTGTGCAACTCCGGCATTGGCAACAGCTCCGGACCTGTCCCTCCCTCTGTCGGAAGAAGCCCTCCTTTCCTTTGCAAACCAAAACCATTGAGAGCAGGATAATACAAACAGCCGACAGATAATAAGAACATAAGAGCCCTGCTGGATCAGAGCAATAGTCCATCTAGTCCAGCATCCTGTCTCACGCAGTGGCCACCCAGTTCCTCTGGAGGGCCAACAACAGGGCAGGGAGGCCGAGGCCTTTCCCTGAGGTTGTCTCCTGACTCTGGCGTTCTGAGGTTTCGTGCCTCTGAATGTGGAGGTTCCTCATAGTCACCATGGCTAGTAGCCATTGACAGACTTACATTTAATGAATCTATCTAATCCCCTTATAACGCTGGAGCCATCACTACAGGGGTCTTGTTGTAGAAAAAGAGCTGCCGGAGCTCATTAGCATAACTCATTAGCATAACTTATTTGCATATGCCACGCCCCCTGACATCACCGGAAGTGACAGAAGGCCACACCCCCTGACATCACCGGAAGTGTGTCAGAAGGCCCGGCTACTTACCCTCCTGCTTCATCCTCATTCCCAAACGGAATGAGGATCGAAGCAGAGGGCGGGGTAAAGAAGGGGCGGGGCTTCACCACGTGACCGCCCCACCTATCACCGGAAGTGTGTCAGAAGGCCCGGCTACTTACCCTCCTGCTTCATCCTCATTCCCAAACGGAATGAAGATCGAAGCAGAGGGCGGGGTAAAGAAGGGGGCGGGGCTTCACCACATGACCGCCCCGCCCCCTAGAGGTTCTCTTCCGGAGCTCCGTACCTGAGAGCTCCCCCCCGACTAGAGCCCTGCATCACTATATCCTGTGGCAGCGAATTCCACAGTTCACAATCCCATTTCTCTTATCAAGATGGGTAGCCGGAGAAAAAAGTCCAGTGGCACCTTAAAGACGAACCAAAGTTGTGGCAGGCCATTCCTTTTATGCGTGCCTTCCTGAACCATTTTGTTATAATCTAGCTCCCTCTCTTTTATAG